TTACATGAGCATTTTCTTAAGTTTACTGCTTAGCAATTTTCAGAGGAAAATACAAGCATGCATATGCATGATGATGGAACAATGAAAAATGAAATCAAATTCAAAGATTTTTGAGGAATAAATGATTTTCAAGAAAATGTTAAAAATAAAACTACATTTTTAATACACAGACTAGCTATTTATTTTTTTTGAGAGATTTTCACTGTAGGGCGCGTGCGCTTGCCAGACAGACAGAGAGAGAGACAGAGAGACAGAAAGCGAGAAATCACCCCCCAGGGGGGATGGTCACGCCGCAATCCCTTCTCCTCCATTCTCCTCTCGGGATCTTGGGCACGCGCACACACACACGCCCGGCGTGAGTTTTTTAAGCCACCGGGTCCAGTACACGAACCGCGGTCGACTACGTGGGAGTCCAGCGACATAGCCATTACGTTAACTGCTGGTTCCCCAGACTAGCTATTTTATAGTGTTGTGGTATAAGAATAGTACATTCTGTACATTTCTTTCATAATATTTTCAATTTTCAAATTACATACTTTTTTTTGTAGTATCACTTTTTTTTGTTTTTGTTTTGTTTTGTTTAGATTTTTTCCATACGATATGTGAACTCACCAAGAGAGAAACAGAGAGAGAAAAAGTAAGAAAACAAGCTGCCAGGTCCAGGACTCAAACTGTGGACAAGCATGTGGGAGACCAGCATCTTCCATGTTAAATCCCTTCCCTTCCATTCTCTTTTCAGGATTTTGGGCACACATGATTGGCATGACTTTCAAGCCACCAAGTTTGGGACTCAAACAGTGATTGACCATGTGGTTAAGGCGCTGGACTCTCACATGACTGACTTCGCTGAGTCTAGCACCTTAACCACCATACCACCTGCTGGCCTATTTATCATCACTTTTTAAAATAACTGTCCCCGTGAGACTATAAGCTCAATAAATGATCATTGTGTTCATCTACATACTTTGTATTCTTAATATTTAGTACAGCATCTTGTGCACAATAGGCTTTTATTGAATGTTTGCCAGCTCAATAACTGGAAGTTTTGCATAGTAGAAGACACTAGGTGTTGGGAAAACAATTTTCAAGTAATATTACTATCACCAAGTAAATGGAATTTTCAAAAGTCTATATAGTTTAACTGGCAAAAGTATCAGAAACAATAGAAATACACATTCTTATCCTAATAACATTTAGCTATTTATACATATTTTCAAACCTCTTTATTATCAGATTCTCTCTTGTGCAGAATTTGAGTTTCTCAGTAACATTTAATTCCACAAATATTTACTTAAGACAACAAAACATCCTTCTGGGTACTACAAAAGAAACAAAGCTCACAGGCACAGTATAGCCTGGCTTTAAAGAGACATATGAGAATAAAGCAGTAAAGTCAAGATTTGGCAAAAAGAAAATTAAAGGAGAAAAATTAGGAAAGAAATAGGTTTTCAGAGTGGTATAAAGCCTGATTTTTAGGAAACTCTTAGATCTATCCATGATATTTTTTCATACAAACATAAAAGTAGCTATTTTTTATGAAACAATGACTCAAATACAAGAATATAAAAATGCAAACAGGGAAATGTGATGCCCTTACCAGATGAACTGTAAACCTCAAAAAATAAGAGCACAAAATGGGAATGAACTGATTGGTAAAATTCTCCAGTCCAAGTCCTAATTTTCCATGTCGACCATCTCCAAAAGTATACATAAGGCCCATTTCTAAAATGTAAAAAAGAAGAGAATTATGAAAGTTTTGTTATTTGTGTGGATCTACTAGTAAACAAATACATTCACTTACATTGTAATTATAACTCTCTTCTCAAATTCTGCATGAAATTTATGCTGATCCACTACCTTTCCATACTCCATGATCTCTGTGGTTTTATATGTAACATTAGGCAAGGAATATTCTGAGAATAAATCACTGAACACTGGTGGTTTGTGAAACCACGCAAGGTACTGTGTGGGGTAGTGGCACTACAGCATGTGATCTCATGATATGCATATTTTCAAGAGGAAGGAGATACTTGTATTCTTGATCCCCCTATGTCTCCTTACGATCCGTTTTTCCCTCAGGACATTAGCAGACCAGTTTCTGAACCTCAGGACTACTGACATTTTCTGGGTATATCATTCTTGATCATATGGATCTGTCTTTTGTACTGTATGATGATTCACAGCATCCCTGGCCTCTACTAACTAAATGCCAGTAAAACAAATCTACTTTGCAGTTGTTACAATAAAAAATGTCTCCAGACATCGTCATGTGTCTCCTCAGGGAACAAAGTCACTACTAGTGGAGAACTACTGGCATACATCAATCCAATGGTCTCTTTAACTAATTTAGGTCCTTGGGCTGTGGAATGCTACCAAGGAAATGACCTAAGCGAACCATGCTGACTAGCCTGTATACCAAGACTTGGGTCCCTTCTGTAGCTGGACCCATGATGATGATGAGTCAGCTGTCACTTCTCTACAGTTAATCCTTTTGCCTGCTGCCATTGCAGCTATTCTGTACTTTCTTTCCTCTCCTCAAGTCCTTTATACCACGCATCTCAAGTGAGCTGAAGGCCATGGAAGTAAAGGTAATGAGTGCCAACATGGGTGCACAAGAGGGGGATTGTTCCCTTCTGTAGCTGGACCCATGATGATGATGAGTCAGCTGTCACTTCTCTACAGTTAATCCTTTTGCCTGCTGCCATAGCAGCTATTCTGTACTTTCTTTCCTCTCCTCAAGTCCTTTATACCACGCATCTCAAGTGAGCTGAAGGCCATGGAAGTAAAGGTAATGAGTGCCAACATGGGTGCACAAGAGGGGGATTGTTCTCTAGGGTAGGAATTTAAGAAGGCTTTCAAACTAAATCGTAAAGGATGAATAGGGCTTGGCTACAAGAAGACAACAAAGAACTTTCCAGGCAGAGTCAGTCAACATAATTCAGTAAGGAGGCAAGTTAAAAAAAATTAAAAGTATACTCCCTATAAATAAATGATAACCACTGTTCAGACTCTTTAGACACATAATTCTTACTACTAGGTATTTAATTCCATTCTTAATATATACCCCTTATCACATCTATCCCTTCCTTTCTACTCTGATTACTTTATCTAAAATGCTCTTTAAGGTTTTCCTTTTTTTATCTCCTATTTTTTTCCATAGAACATATGAGTTCACTGGAGGAAGAGAGAAAAAGAGAAAGAGAACCCTTCATGGGGCATGGTCACACCACAATCCTTTCTCCCCCATTTCTCTCTCCTTTCAGGATTTTGGGCATGCACACACATGTGCCTGGCATTTTTCTCAAGTTGTGGAGTCTAGGATTTGAATTGTGCTGTCAGCCATGTGGGATCTAGCCACCTTAACCAGTATGGCCTGGGCTGATCCAAGCTTTGTCTTTTTAACATGACTAATTTTGCCTGAAAAAATAAACCCTTTACTGAGTTCTACATTATTAGCAGCACCTTGTTCCTGAGTTTGACAAGTAGACCCAAAGAAAGATCTCCATAGATAAAGAAGATACCACAGAGTGGAAGAAGGTCTTCAATTAGTGGTCTGAAGTGCCCTTCTCTCTATCACCTTACAAAGAAGGAAGAAGACACTCCTGAACATGCCTCTTGGTGACAAATGCACTATAAGAATTTACTTAGCCTGAATGTAGCTCTGTCAGATTGAATTGGAAGAATGTTTTAAAATAAATTACTTCTTATGAGATTTTCCCCTTTGGCCTGAGCAGAGTTAAGAGCCTTCAAACTGATATAATTTCAAAAAGATTCTGGCTGCCCACCAAAGTATAACACTATGGTCTTAATTATGACATTACTAGCCTATCTTGAATTTCTAAATCTTTGGATCATTTATATTTATTTTAAATTGAATTAAGAAAATAAAAAGGACTTAACAACTTTATACTTTGGGATATTTTTAAAATTACTTTTCAACTTTGGAGTATTAAATAGGGGATTCCATTTTTATCAGTTATTAACACCTTAAGTCAGATACAGTGTTCCATATGTTATTCACTTTGTAATAAAACATATACTAAGTTATATAAATATATGACATAAATTCTAGTCCATACCTGTAATCAAAGCTGTGTGATTTTCACCACAGGAAATAAAAATTATTTTCTGATCTTTCATATGCTCAATGACTTTAGGCTCTGAAGTTTCAAATAGAAACGTGCCAAGACCCAGTTGACCAAACTGTCCCAGTCCAAAGGCATACACTGATTTCTCTGAAAAGAAAGAGAAATGCATTGCATAGAGGTAGATACTATCACCATGATACCTATAAGAATCACCATCTTTCGCCTTTTGTAATAAAGGTTAAGTTCTTCTGAAATACCCAAACAGAAAGACTCGATACTGAAGTACAAATTTTGCTATGATGAAGGAAGAGAACAATGAGAAGGCACACATTTGTAAAAATTATGGCATGGGCCTGATGTTATCTTTGACACATAACTATAAAAGAAATTGTTATAAGTAAGTGACAAATATAATACAAAATACGTATGTCAGGGAACACCTGGAATTACCATCTCAGCTCAAAAAACATCTATTACCACTAACCTATTTCCTTCACTGCCTCAGTAAAAAAAGAATAGTGTCTCCTACAGAAAATCGCCTTACTTTAAAAAGGAGTTTAATAATCTATTTTATAAAATAAAACTTTATAGGCAAATCTGCATGACAATTAAAACATACAGTAGCTATGCTAGATTTACCCGTGAGTAAAACCCCTTCAATAGGAAATACAATAATAATGAAGGAAAAATGTTTCCCGCTATATAAATGTTTTTGAAGTGATTCCAAAGGACCTCTGATAAGTCTGTAAATATTAGCTCATTTACTTTCCAGAAATGGAAAAACACAAAAACAGGACACATGTGTGGTGATGCATGGGTCCTTTTAGACATTCAATTTCCCTGCATGTTAGAAAGCACAGTGATTACTAGTTCCTTCTCCTTAGTTCAGTAGTGGACTCTCTTATGACAGAAGAGAGAGCAAGTGCTGCACACTCGGGCCAGAACCCAAACCTTCATTATTACTGGTTGTGGCAAGTAGAAGAGTTTACTTAGATTCCCTGATGGTTTCATTCCTATCTAATAGAGTTGCTGTCAGGATTAAATGAATGAGAAAACATTCAGGCAGATTTGAAAACATAACGGGATATTCAGGTGTAAAGAACATTTTTCTAAAAAGCAATGATCTAATCAAGTCATCTTACTCTGACAATGGTTAATTTTTTTAAGAATTATTTTATGTAACTTTGTTATTTATTTTCATTTGACTGGAGAGGGACAGAATGAGAAAGAGAAAGAGAGAGTGGGAGTGAGAGAGAGAGAGAGAGAGAGAGAGAGAGAGAGAGAGAGAGAGAGAGAGATTTTTTTTAAAACAGGCCTCCAGGTCCCAGGACTCGAACCACCATTGGCCATGTGGGAGTCCAGCACCATTAACCACTATACCCTGCTGGCCCCAACAGTGGTTAACGTTAATAATCATGTATAACAGATTTACTTTTATCCTGTCTACTCAATTCTGGAGCTATATGGAAGACTCTGGGTTTGGATTCTGGGTGGATTTAAACATTCTAGGTTCACCTGTGATCACAGGTAGTAGAAGGTGAGGAGTAGGGGGATCAAAGCATGAGACCTTGTCAAGAGAACCTGTTTCTTTCAATTTCTCCCCTTTCAATAAATAAACTTTTAAAGGATTAATTTCAAATTTCAATTTCTAGAATAATTTCCTTTTTGAAATTATGTGAAATTAAAAAAAAAAAACCTTAAACCTTAGAATTATTTCCAAATTTAGAGTGGAAGCTTTGAAAAAATTATTTCTAACTTGGAAAAGATTTCATCTGGAAACTGTGATTCTGGAAAATAAAAACTTCATAAGCATACTTGAGTCTAAATTAGGAAGTCAATGAAAAGCAATGTTAAAAGAGAGGAATCTAAAGATAAAATATTGCTCACTCACCTTGCAACATTAAGCATATCATAAGAGACTGGATATTCAAAATTGATCTAGAATACTCCTAACTTTGAGTTACTGTACATAAACTGGTGACTTCAGAAGGTGTTCATTTCCTTTTCTTTTTAGTTTATGTTTTTATTCCATTAGTGAAAGAGACAGAGAGAGGCAGAAAGCACCCTCAACAGGGACCCAACCCTACGATCCACACTCCACACCCAGCCTAAGCCAGCAAGAATTAGAGGCACACGCATGCCCAGCATACTCAGAAGGTCTCTGGAAATGAACTAGTAACCTTCCCATGTGGGTTTACCATGCAGGGCACTGTGTTTTACAGCTGCACCACTGTCTGACTCCTTAATTTCTTTTTGTCAAAAAAAAATTTTTTTAAAAACATAACTTACTATGTAACTAAATTATCGCACATTGCTCATCTAAAATAAATCTAATGATGAGCAAATTTGGGAATATCAATTTATTACGCACATTATCAAGTAGTAAATTTCACATTATTGACTAGAATCCTGAAAAGGGACATGTCATACTAAATATAACATTACCACGATTCTAACTTTCCTTATCTGTAATCTAAAACCTTACTGCTTTTTAATGAATGAATAATAGAACATACAATCACAGAGAAATCCCCATATTATCCATTGTACATATCATAAAGAAATCCCCAAGATAAACATTGTGAATATCACAAAGAAAATAATTATCAACATGTAGAAAATAGCATAAACAGTAAGCTTTTCACAAAAAAAGCTATTTCAAGAAAAATAATGTCTATTTTAGATAAATACAGAATGAATATACAGGAGGAAAATGGTTTATCCTTGAAAATATGCTAAAAACAATGATATTTACAAAATGTGCTAAAAAATGTTATTTACTGCCCTTAAAGGTGTTAAGGTCATGAAAATGTCAATTAGCAGAAATAATTCAATAAGATTCATGTTTTTCTGCCTAAAAAATTCTTCCATAGGCCAGAAACTTCTATTTACTATAGGAATGAAAGGTAGAAAAAGGGACTTTTAACACAGAGAGAGAACTCACATGATGTATCTAAAAGTAACAAATCCATAGAAGCTAAGAATGGTGGTAGGACCAGCAGATGGCATAATGGTTATGTCTCTGGACTCCCATGTAGTCAACTGAGGTTTAAGTCCCAGACCTAGTAGCTTAAAACTCACACCAGGAGAATGTGCATGCATGCCCAAAATTCAGAGAGGAGAATGGAGGAAAAGAGATTGAGGCATGGGCATCCGCCCGGGATGTGATTTTTCGCTTTTTCTCTCTCTGGTGAGTGCACGTACCCTAAAGCAAAAATCTCTCTTTAAAAAGAAAAAAAATATAATACAATGGTGGTGAGCCAGCAGGTGGTGTAGTGGTTAAAGCACTGGACTACAATGTTTCTGACTGCAGTTCGAGTCCCAGACCTGGTGGCTTGAAACACATTCTGGGCGTGTGTGCATGCATGCCCAAACTCCTAAGAGGATAACAGAGGAGAAGGGATTGTGGGTGGCCATCTCCCTGGGGGTGATTTATCACTTTTTGTCTCTTTCTCTGATAAGCACATGCTCCCTATAGCAAAAATCTCTGTCTCTAAATGTAGAATGGTAGTTGCCAGGGGCTGCAAGGAGTGGAGAAAAGGGCATGGATGCGGCACAGGCATAAAGTTTCAATTATGCAAGGTAAGTTTTAGAGATCTGCTATGCAAAATGTGATGCCTATGTATAACAATACCATATATACACTTAAAAATCCTTAAGAGGCTAGATGTCACATTCAGGATTCTTACCACAATAAACAAAATGAACATTAGCAAAATTGCACTGGATACCACAGAGAGCAGGGACTGGAGCAGCAAGCTCTATACCTACCTGTAAGCACCACAGTGTGTCCTCCACCACAAGCGACTTGGATCACCTTTTCGGGAATTCCATATACCAGCTGGGGTATTCTGTGATTGATCAGCAGTTCATTGGGAAGACCTAACTTCCCACTCTCAGGTTCTCCAAATGTGTACAGTTCCCCATCCACTATTGAAGGGAAAAAAACAGTGCCCAATGATGAGATAAATAGAAATGAAATACTGGTCCTTTTGGCAAACATTCTCACATTCAGTAAAAATAAAAATAAAAATAAAAAATAAAAAATGACAGACAATGACACACCTTTCTTAAGATATTTGTACTGTATTGTAAGAAAATAAAGACAGATTTTCTTTTTCCCTGAATTTTTAAAAATATTTTGCCAGAGGGCGTATGCACTTGTGGAGGAGAAAAATAGAATACGAGAAAGCATTCCTCATAGGGAGTGGTAATACTTCAATCCCTTTCCCTCTCTCTCACTCTCTCTCTCTCCTATCAGGATTGTGGGCATGCACACACATGCACCCGGATGTGTTTTCTCCAAGAATCGAACCATGCACTCAGCATATGAGATCCAGCTGCCTTAACCACCACATTATAGGCTGGCCCCCCTTCAATTATTTTAATCCAATAACCTTCATGAAGAATCCACAACTATCACTACTAACAAATAACCAGAAAATCATTTTTGCTCTTTCATAAATATAGTGAAGAGTCTCTTGAATCTTCTACTTATCTTTTTTTTTGGGGGGGGGAGGTTTTTGTTATAGAGCACATGTGCTTACCAGAAAGACTGATAGAGACAGAGAGACAGAAAGCGAGAAATCACCCCCCAGAGGGGATGGCCACGCCGCAATCCCTTCTCCACCTTTCTCCTCTCAGGATCTTGGGCATGCACGCACACACGCCCGGCGTGAGTTTAAGCCACCAGGTCTGGGACTCAAACTGCAGTCGACTACGTAGGAGTCCAGTGACATAGCCATTACGCTAACTGCTGGTCCCATCCACTTACTTTTAATAAAATAAAATGACTAGATATGAAGCTCTCATAAAGAAATGAATTTTGTCTCATTTACTAGTATATGTCCAAAACCTAGCAGCGTGCCAGTACAATCATTTACTGAATAATTGTTGAATAAATAAATAAATGAAAAGTTGCTTTTTATGACACTTGTTTTAGAAAACTCACTTATATATGAAATAAATATGTTGAATGAATTTTAAAAAAGCAGATTTTAATCAGATTGCACTTCTTTCAGACTCTTACCAAGGAGCTCTGGACACTTAATCACTGCCTTTTCCACAGCTACACTGATTTGCTCCTTTATCACACTTACCACACTATATGATGGTGAGCTTCTTGAAAGAAGAAACTTTCTCATTCATTTCTATAAAACTGAGTTCTATAAAGCATGAATTTTAAAATTTGCATAAATGCATAATCTAATCTAAAGAATGATACAGAACATATTGCCATTAGTGTGAGGAAAGAGCTAACATAGAAGGTCTGTTTGCTAATTCTTTGCATGTCCCAAGGGAAATATGACTGACCCTTGGCCAACTCCTGGAAAGGAGGCCCTTGGAGTGTTCTTTATGTTACTGATTGATGCATTTATTATGTATAAGGAGACTTCAAAAGGTTCATGGAAAATGGAATTAAGAAAAGAGTTTATTTTGGTGCAAAAACATTTTTTTGGGGGGGAAGAGGTTTTCGCTTTAGAGCGCGTGCGCTCACAAGACAGACAGAGACACAGAGACAGAAAGCGAGAAATTACCCCCCGGGGGGATGGTCACACCACAATCCCTTCTCCTCCATTCTCCTCTCAGGATCCTGGGCACGCACGCACACATGCTCGACGTGAGTTTAAGCCACCTGGTCCAGGACCCGAACCGCAGTTGACTACGTGGGAGTCCAGCGACATAGCCATTACGCTAACTGCTGGTTCCCATGCAAAAACATTTTGAAAGTCATGCACAGTCTTTTCATAACACACATTTTACATGAATGGTTTAAAGACCCCTTGTACCTTTAGAGCAATGAACTCTGCCAGAAGAGCTTCCGGGAGTTGCTTTGTACCATGTCAACACTGATGATGTGCACTTGATTTCATTATTGAGGGTCCTGAGTCTCAGCTGTTATGACCAACTGCTAGCAGGAGGTGCCTACATGACTAGCCTCAGACCCTGAGACTAGACTGGGCTTCCCTGGACAAAGACATTCTATATATGACCACTGTAGTTCACTGCCAAAAGGAAAGCATGTCCTGTGTGGCCTTAGAAAGGAAGGATGAGGAAGCCTTTGCTAGACCTCTGAATTCTGCTGATGTATATCACCTCTCTTTTTTGTTCCTGCTCTGTATCCTGTACTGTAATAAATCATGACTCTCAATAAATCCTGTGAATATTACCTGCTATTGAAACTTTTGAGTCCTTCAATCAAATCACGAAACTCAGGGAAGTTGTGTGACACCTAACATATGGCTTGCACCACTTAAAACTTGGTTAAATATGACACACACAGTTATATTAATTTTCTGGATTGATCTGCATAGAAACAGCAGTTCTTTGGACCACAGTTTTCTATGAAATATTCAGCAACTACTGGCACAGAAGAGGTGTTCACTAAGTTAGCACCATTCTCTTTTTTACCCATGCCTCTTACCTCTCTTAAGGAGATGGTTACTAAATCTTTTTAAAAATAATTATTTATTTAGTTTTATTTATTATTGTTACTATTTTAAAATTTTCTAGAGGGCACATGTGCTCATCAGAGAGAGAAAAAGTGAGAATGTGAGTCACCAGGTCCAGACCTTGAACCACAGCTGGCCATATGGGAGTCCAGCGCCTTAACTACCACACCACCTACTGGCCCCTAGGTCTCTTTCCACTTGTCTATTTATTCCTGCCCTTCATGCCTTAACAAATTTTGACCTGGAACAACATTTTTTCTAATGGCTTTCCCTTATCCCCAAGATAACTTCACAACCATTTGTCATCCAAATCAAGGTTCTAATTATGATTCTTCCAAATTAAAAAAAAATTATCAAGTATAAACTCCACATAGTGTTCCAAAAGATCTCCATGTTGTCTCCAGACTCCTACACCAGTCATATTGCTACCTAGTCCCCAAGCTGGTGACTCTTTTGAGTCATATCTTCCCTTGAGAATGTTGCAACAGTTCTAGCAAAAAAAAAAAAAAGAAAAGAAAAGAAAAAAAAAAGCACATTCCAAATTTTGCACATCACTTCAGGGGTTCACTTTTGTTTAGGAGCCATGATCCTTAGGAAGGAACTCTAGCTCTAACCTCTGAATAAATTCAACTATGCAATAATCTACAAACACATGGAGATTTTCTGCCTCTATCACTGCAACATGCTTTTTTGTCCCTGCCTGGTTTGTTCTTGCCTCACCTCTACCTCTCAGAGTCCTTTCCACTGTTTGTGGTTAATTTTAAATAGCACCCTTTCCCTGAAATACGTCCTGATGCCCCTAACAGGAAATAATATTTTCTCTTCTTTGATCTCACATAAGATTCTGCTGTAAATCATGCTGTGTTTCCAATTACGATCTGTTATATATTCTAATTATTGGAGTAGCATAGGGGTTAAAAGCATGGGCTACATACAAAACCAGACTGCCTGGTTTGCATCTGGGTTCTGCCACTCACTGAGTCATACTGAGCAAGCTACTCGATCACTGTGTCTGTAAAATGGGGATAAAAGTGCCTATGACATGGGATTGTTGTTTTATAGGGATAAATGAATTAATGCATTCAAAAGTACTTAGCAGGCACAATCAGCATTCAGTCCTCACTAGCTGCTAAGTCATCCTTCTCTTCCCCATGTGCCTGTAGAGAACCTGTGTGCCAATAGAGGTTGTTTGGACCCTTAGAGAGGAAAACTAGGATTTGAATTCTGGTTCTGCAATTCAACAGCAGCATCACCTTGAATAAAACAGCATTCTAAACCTTCATCTATAAATGGAATCAGACACCATTGTTGTGTGTTGTGAGATTAAATGAAATGTATTTGTACTTGAAAACGATTTATATCAATAGATGGCAAAACATCACACTCTGTAGTTAGTGTACTGTGAAATCCTAGAGGATAGGAACCAGCAGTTAGCATAATGGCTATGTCGCTGGACTCCCATGTAGTCAACCGTGGTTCAAGTTCTGGAGCCGGTGGCTTAAAACTCACGCTGGGCACATGTGTGTGTGTGCCCAAGATCCCAAGAGGAGAATGGAGGAGAAGGGATTGCGGCGTGGCCATCCCCCCCGGGGGGTGATTTCTTGCTTTCTGTCTCTCTATCTCTCTCTCTGTCTGGCGAGCACACGCACCCTATAGCAAAAACCTCTCCAGAAAAAAAAAAAAAAAAACCACAAACAACAACAAAAAATCAACAAAAAAAGAAATCCTTGAGCATAGGTAATATGTTTTAATCAACTTTATTATAAGAAACACCCTTCAAAATGCCTTTTACATGGTAAGCTGCTGAATCGTTTCTCAGTGTCATCTTTTTAAAGTAAAATGTTTACTTACAAAGGATTAGCAAAGATATTTCCTGTAGCTAAGTGATTAAAAGTAGGTAAGTGCTTTTAATCCACATAAATGTCCCATTTAATTCTAAATTCTTTTCTTGTTTATGTACAACAACAAAATAACATTTATCATAAATAATGGAATAGGAAATTTCACCTAATTTATTTTTACTTCACTTAAGCCTATTAATTGTTTTATAAAATCTGGATTTCTCAAACTATTTACCTCCTCTGGTACTTACCTTCCCTAGGATTCTGACTTTCAGCACCCTGCCAGGACTCTATTCTTCAGTCTCTGAAGACTTCTACAAACATCCCTGTCCCCAGTTCCCACAATCCAAGCTTATTTACTTATATCTCCTATTGAAGTGCACCTCTTTCACGCTTACTGTATGCATGACTGGTAGAAATGCTAAAATTTAACCATTAATGCGGCAGATGAAAAGACATACAATCAGGGACAATAACTGAAAACTCCACATATTTTACTTCTAATATTTGAAAATTAAATATTTTATATAATTTAGAACATAAACTTGAATTTAAAACATGAATTTAGAACATTATCATTCAAACCTATTAGTAGACTGAAAAAATCTGTAGGAAGTTATAAACGTAACTGTCTCAAAATATTCTACATCTTTTATTAAGAATTAGACTGTTTTAGTCTTCAAACTTGACATACAAAGAGAAAAAGACAATTGTTTTTCATGTAACATTTATATCATGAAATACATACTAAGCAAACGCTTTAAGCTTGAGTTATTTCCAAGATTTATAAAAATCTGTTTAAATTATTAAGGTCATAAAAGAATGTAACTGTCTCAAAATATTCTACATCTTTTATTAAGAATTAGACTGTTTTAGTCTTCAAACTTGACATACAAAGAGAAAAAGACAATTGTTTTTCATGTAACATTTATATCATGAAATACATACTAAGCAAACGCTTTAAGCTTGAGTTATTTCCAAGATTTATAAAAATCTGTTTAAATTATTAAGGTCATAAAAGAATGGCTGGTGGAAAAAATTACTGGCAGTTCATATCAGCAGATGTAAATGAATCCCCAGCAAAATTCTTAGTGTGAAACTTCACTATATATACAAACCTATAGATATACTAAAACACATTCAACTGAACATTTTTAATGAGTTAATTGTATGGTATATGGGTTAAATCTCAAAAAAATTGTTTTTTTAGGGGCATAAAAATAAAAACAAGAGGTTAGTGTAATATCTGCAATGAATCCCCAGCAAAATTCTTAGTGTGAAACTTCAGTATATATACAAACCTATAGATATACTAAAACACATTCAACTGAACATTTTTAATGAGTTAATTGTATGGTATATGGGTTAAATCTCAAAAAAATTGTTTTTTTAGGGGCATAAAAATAAAAACAAGAGGTTAGTGTAATATCTGCTGGTTAAGGTGAAAAATTCAACTTCTTCCCTTAATGGCTAAAGTAGAGTTTATTAATTAAATTGATGCTGGTGGTTTTCTTAAAACCCAAATATAAGACCATGGTTTTTCTTGATATTCATATGTTTGGTTTATTTTTGTGTCTTTTTCCTGTTTCTTTGCTTTTTGTTCCCCCCACAAAGTATGTACCGTAGGAGCCCTAAAGTTGCTAATAAGTTGGTAGGCAGTATTGCCTCAAGGAATGTAATTAATTGATAATTCATTCACTGGTTCCTCATTCAAAAATATTTACTGATTATCAGTTTGTTCAAGACACTAGGAGCACAGTGCTGAACAATACTGACAGAGTTGGGTTTGTCCTCTCTTGGTATCATGCTCCCACCAATCAGTGGGTAACTCTGGGGGGCCCTGGGATGGGTCAATTGGTTACTTTGTGAACCTGAGTCTATGAAAAATGGAATGAAGAGTAAATGAGTCAGAGAAACTAAAGGGGGTCCATGAAACTATGTCTTCTAGCTGTTTTTTTGTTGTTGTTGTTAGAAAAAAACATCAAATACATGGAAAGCCATAATCATCTTTCTCCTATGATTACTAGTGTAGATGTAGACTATAAAAGAGGCTATCATTTCAAATATTTTAACTAAGGTAGAAAAGGTTATCAACAGGCCTAAGAAGGGAAGAAATTTGTGATGCTAAGAAAAGTTTTACCAATGGAAATCATATCCCACAGTGAGCTCTCTTTCTTTCTCCCTAGTATCTATCCTGGATCCCACTATGGAAGTTCATGACTCACTACTGAAACAATAAAAAAAAAAATGATCAGGCTAAGAGCAGAGTAGGTGAAAGCGTAGAGGCAAGCAGGACCAGAGGAAAATGGACTATAGGTCTTGTTTCTAATGTTAAGAAGATTTGAGAATCAAAATTCAGAAGGAGTTTAGTTTTGTTTTGTTTTAGAGAGAGATTCTTGCTATAGGGAGTGTGCACTACCTGGAGAGACAGAGAGAGAAAGTGAGCAATCATCCCCTAGCAGGGATGGCCATGACATAATTCCTTCTCTTCCATTCTCTTCTCAGGACTTCAGGCATGCACAGATATGTGCCCAGTGTGATTTTTAAGCCGCCTAGTCTGGGACTCAAACCATGGTCAGCCATGTGGGAGTCTAGAGTTTTAACCACTACATCACCTTGTGGCCTCAAGAGTTTTTTAAAATATCAATTTTGTTTTCTAATAGAGCCAATATTCATTTAAAAAGTCAATGTGAGACCAGCAGATGCATAGTGGTTACGTTGCTAGACTCCCACATGGCCAACTGTGGTTTGAGTCCCAGAACAAGTAGCTTACAAATCACAACAGGCATGTGTGCATGCATGCCTGAGACCCTGGGAGGAGAATGGAGAAGGGACTGCAGCGTGGTCAACCCCCTGGCGGGGGTGATTTTTCACTTCCCCTCTCACAGTTTCCGTCTGTCTCTCTCTCCCTGGCAAGTACATGTGACCTGAAGCAAAAAACTCTAAAAAAAAAAAATTAATATGTGAGAGAAAGTTTGAAATTATAAACTGTCATTAAAGATATAGAGAAATACTATTACTAATAGTATTACCTAAAACATATCATTACATAGACAATCGTGGCATTATTTTCACAGAACTATATATCAATTTATTATTAATTTAGTAATAATGTAGTAATGGAAGGTAACATGATGAAGCCAAGTGATTATGTCTTACTTGTTACAAAAGCTGAGTGATGTTATCCACAAGAGATCCAGGAGATAGGTTTCCCAATGGTTACCTGCTGGGGGACACATGTATTGGATATATCATTCAAACCAATCTGCCCTTCAGAATTGTCACCCCACATAAAAAGTTCTCCATTCTCTATAAAGAAAACACAAGAAAGAGAAAATTTTTAAAAGGTAGCAGGGCTGCTCTCAAGCTATTATATTTGCAATAAACCGGTTATATTTTAACTTAAAAAATTATGTATTTTGAAAGAACAGGATTAATACCTTGACACCAACTGGCTACTTAAGAGTTCAATTTCTATTGTGAAATGTTTCTATGATGGTAAAGAATGGAGAATTACCTGTTGGTAATTCACTTTAGTTAGGCCCAAATTTTTATCTCAATAGCAACAACAGAATATCCTTTCATATCATCACCTTTTCTTATTCTAATATCTTTAAACAGAAATGTGTTCCTCATTCCCAGTAGTCTAAGTGCAACTGAACTGAGACAGCAGTCGTTATAACAGACAACTCCATGTCAAAAGCACAAGTTCCTTGTCAAAAGGGCCCAGAAGACCTTATTCTTGAGAACACTGTATAAATGATGTTTTAAAGGTGGGGGATGAGAAGAAATGTTTTCACTAGATTTTTTTTCTCATAACTTATACCTAACAATAGAAGCTAATTTCAGAGACTGGACAGATATGGAAGCATATACAACATTTCAAAAACAGGTAAACTTATGTCCTTTCTCAAAAGGATTTTGGTATCAGAAAAAGTTAACTAGGAAAAATATTTTAGAAAGAAATCATCAACACTTATTTATCTATATTTTTTAATTAATTAAGCTATTTTTAACTTTGAAATGGTTTAATAGGGCAAATAAATAATTTCCCTTTTGGAGAGGTTTTTGCTATAGGGTGCATGTGCTTGCCAGACAGAGAGAGACAGAGTGACAGAGAGTAAGAAATCACTCCCCAGGGGGGGATGGCCAGGCCGCAATCCCTTCTTCTTTATTCTCCTTTTGGGATCTTGGGCACACATGCACACGTGCCTTTAAGCCACGTGAGTTTAAGCCACTGGGTCCGGGACTCGAACTGCGGTCGACTACATGGGAGTTCAGTGACATAGCCATTACACCAACTGCTGGTCCCGGCAAATAAATAATTTAAAAGAAGAACCAGCAGGATGTTAAAATGCTCATTATATGGTTAGCAAAACTAAAGAGATAGTACTCTGACTTTTCTAACAATCAGGGCAACACTGGAAGCTACAAAGTCTCCCACTTGGAACAAAGCAGTAGACTAAAAGCTTCAGTGAGACCAGGTTGATCTGGGCTCTAAATTTTCAAGGAATTTCTCACATGGCATTTTGATAGGGAAGGTAGAGAGGAGCACTGACCATTACAAACCATATTTTAACAATACATGACACACCAGATTTCTACAGATATTTCTGATAGTAGCTTTGGATAAAGCTGCAAGTATAATTTTCAGAGCATACAGTGAAAATAAAACTTAAGTGTATCTAAAGGAATAGACGGGCAACAAAGCTGAGAATCTACCAATTACCTTCTACATGTATGTTTACGTCTAATTCTAAATAAACATGAGATTGTCCTATATGTCAAAATTTAAAGTTACATGTTAAATGTCTTCTCAAAGCACATAGTTAAAGAAAACTAAACAGCAATGGTGTCTTCAGTTTATTGAGTTAGTATATCTTGGTCTAAAGGAAAGGGATGTGTCCAGATTGAAATGGAAACAAGTCTCACCAGTCAGTACAGCTGAGGTATTAGATCCAGCAGAAAGTTGTTTAATCTTATGTTGGGATGTAAAAAATTCAATTAGCTGAAAACTGTTTCTCTCGTCAGTGTCACCAAGTCCCAACTGCCCTTCATTATTTCCTCCAGCTGAATATACATTGCCTTCTTCTGCACACAGAAAAGAAAACATCAATGTATATGGTTGTCTTCTTTATGAGACAGGTCAACATGTACCAGATATTTCCTCTATGAAGCATGAAGAAAGCTGAAAGCTGTTATGATCCTATTATTTGGTGAACAACGTCATTTCCTGGTCAAAAATAAAGCAAATCAAGCAAGACCACACAGTTTCGTGAGATCTGATATATCATTCTAGAGTTTAACTAGCAATTGAGGTACACAGGATACATGAAATACATTTTCTTATCAACATAGTACTTTAACAGAGCGAAAAAGAGGAAAGTAACTGCCAAATTAGTTTAAAATACAAATCAAACTATTTTAAGAGATGTGGCTCATTCATTGTCACTTCCATGTCCACTAAACTTAAGATATAATAGTAAAAATAAGTAAAATGACCCAAGAAGAATAGAAGAAATATGACAATTCTTTGTTCCCAGCTAAATAGGAAGATAGGACAGCACTGTGATTAGGAGGGGGAAATCCAGAGCCAGACTGTTTGCATACAAATTCTGATTTGCGACTTTCCACCTCTGAGACCTTGGGGAAGTTGTACTTAACCTCTCTGTCTCTCATTTTCCTCATCTGTAAAATGAGGATGACAGTACCTACATCATAGAGTATTTCTGCAGATTAAATCAATTGACATTGGTACAGTTTATAGAATATCATTTGGCTCATTGTAAGCAATACATAAATGTTTGCTAATAACTTTAAATAAAAGGTATATCATGCCTACAATATAAACATTTCCAGTAAGCTCTAAATTAATAATGCCTTTTTAAACACGTGCATATTAAATCAGTTATATTGGTCATAAAAATACATGACATTAAAGGCTTTTTAAATTGTATTTAAAACTGAGAGCAAAATCAGCCTGTATTGGTAGTATTTTAGGGAAAAAAATGAAACTTAATTGAGGAAACCAGACTAACTTTCAAATGGGAGATACTAAGGTCACATGGAATTGGACTGAACAACTTAACACATACGGGGCAAACCAGACTTGGTGAAATGCTAAAGCAATTTCAAAAATTAGATGAATAAATAGTGGAATAGTCACAAAAGCCTCCATGAAAGAAGAAAGACTTACATGGGAACTGAAAGGATAAGAATCTGAATAGGCTAAGCAAAAGAGGAAAAAAACATTTCAGGAAGAAAACAGTATAAATGAAGGCCAAAAGATGAAAAGCGGAGGCAGCGAGAACAGACAGAAGAAGCTATGTATAGGGGGGAAGGAGGGGAAAAGTTTTGCTAGTGGCCAGAGCCTAGGAGTCTATTTGTTCTACCAGAATTTGTTAAAAAGAATACCCCTTCTTCATTGAATTACCTTGGCATTTTTGCCAAAAATCAGCTGAGCATATATGTGTGGGTCTACTTCCAGACTCTATTCTGTTTGATTAATGCTGCCTATTTTCATTAACACCAATCTGTCTTGATTACTGTAGTATGACAACAGGTCTTAAAATCAGGTAATACAAGCCCATCACTTCTGTTTGTTTCCAAAATTGTCTTGGCTATTCTATGTCTTTTGCTTTTCCATATAAATTTTAGAATCATCTTGTCAATTTCCACCCCCTCCCCACACACACATACACAGTCTGGATTTTGATTGGCATTGTGCTGACTCGTATTAATAGACTCTTGGGGTGGCTTCCACTCAGCATCAGCAAGGAAAAGAGAAGAGTAATAACAGAAGCAACTAGTCATTGAAGCGTGCACGCAGGCAAGGAGATGTAGCCCCTTGATAAAACCAAGAAAAGAAACTCCTTCCTCAGCCATTTAACACTTACCTGCATATTTACAAAGGCAAACACTAACATTTTTAAAACACTAAACACATTCTTAAAAACCCTAATCTTACTGTTGCCAAGGTACTATTTTTATTAATTTTAAAAAGCCATAAATGTTACCGGAGTAAGACCTCAGTTCTCAAAGTCAGGCAGGAAGTCAGACAGGTTGAATACTATACCTGTTGAAACTAGGGTGTGGTTTCTTCCACAGGCAGCAAATTTTACTTTTTCAGGTTTTAGAGCTAAAAATATAAAAATATGACAATTACATATTTTACGGTCATGAAAATGAGAAATTATCCACATCAAAGGTTAACTTAGTAGTAGAATTTCAGAACTAAATGTGTATTATAAAAACAAGTGGAGCTTTGAAAACAATACAGATAGCTTAGCCCTATCTGTGTCAATGTGTCTGAGATAGGGCCTGGGCATCTATATATTTTCAAAAACTCTCTAGGTAATTAGCATGTACTGAGATTCACTAATACATTGCCTCCTTGTGAACCTGATCTATTGCTCAAACTGTCATCACCATTATTTATTAAGCTCATCTTCTACCTGTAAGCATATACTTGGGTTAAAGTTGTCCATTCATTTATCAACATATTCAAAGAACCCTTTTAAAAAATCTCTTAATAAGTCCCTGCCACAGAAGCTACAAGGTGATTGTCTAAGACAGAGCCTCCGGTCTTAAGAATTTCATAGTCTAGAAAACCTTTTAAATTGTTTATTAAATAAGATATTTGTGAGTAATCCTCATGGTTACATGAATACCCCAAGTAGAGTGTGTTCAAGACTTTTTGACCTATCTACAACCATGATGTCCACAAATCTAATAAATGAAACACAGATAAATATTCTAACACGTTTTTTTTTCTTTCTATAACAGCAATATTCAAGCAGTTTTACAAACAGGGAAAAAAAAGATGTTCAAGTGTAATACTGTAAAATCATTACTTCCTTTGTAGTTCCTGTGTTTAAATTAATGTGATTTTTAGAACCTAACATGTATAGATAGTTCTGAATTTCAAATCATAAAATTGAATGATATTAACATTTACCTAAATGTCAGAAAATAAAGAAATAAAGGCTTTATTATTTATGACATTAAAGAAGTACACAATCAATATTTTATTTAATTTTAGTGTTTTATTTAGTTTAAGTATTTAAAATGGTAAAGAAGAAAAAAAAATCTCAAACCTTTGACACACGTTGGCTTGCTGATAGTTGACTTTGATCCTAATCCTAACTGACCCCAGTTGTTACTGCCAAACATGTAAAGCTTATTATTTCCTGGTGAGAGGGAAAAAATATTAAATAGAAGCATTTTTCACATAAATAATGTGAGATGACATTGTGAAACAATAAAAAAGCTGTATTTGAAAAATAACATTACTTTCCTATGTTGAAACAGGTACCTTGTCCATCTATGTACAACCACCTACTGAGAGTCAAAGAGATTCTAAGACTGTATAGTAGTTTTTTATTATAGTGAAATAGACATATTCCGAGAAAGTTGTGCGAACAGAAAATCATACTTAAATACACTAAATAAATTTAAAATATGAAAGACTTTCTTAATAAATTGGTAAAGGATTCTCTGGCAAAGTTTAAAAAAACAACAGCAGTCTATATTTTCTACATGGTTAAAACCTAACATGTCTATAATATTTAGAATTCTCTAAGTATTACTCTCCTCATTCAGGATTGTAATACTCACCTGTAACAATAGCAGTATGTTCATCTCCACATGAAATAAGTATAGGTACATCATTTTTAAACCAGAATTTACTGGGAATATTTTCAGCAAATTTAGTTTTTCCAAATGTAAACACAGCACCCGAATCTGCAAATATAAGATTGTTTCTATTTGATCATTTGTCTTATGTTTTCTGCTATTAAAATAGTTTTTCATATTTATCCATATGAAACCCTATTACTTTTCAGTCTGTTCTACTTTTCAAAGAGAAAAATGTTCCCCCAGCACACATATATATTCATAACTGTTTTCAGGTAATCATAATGGTGAATAAGTAATCAAATATTAATATAACTTTCAATTCAACATTTTTAATGTTAACAACAGCAAATTATCGAAGTCTTCAACAGAAAACCATTTCAGCTTTCCTTGATATTTCTACTGAGGTGAATTCAGAAATTCAGAGATCTAGTATAATATGAAAGGATCCTCTCAAAAGTGCTACTCTAAGAGAACAGCTTCTAATTCTTATCTTTACTTGTATATCATAGTTAGTTATGGACATGTCTTTTTCACCCTCCTAAGTACCATCACAAAATGCCATGGTCCTAGGAGACTGAGGATGAGGGAGTAGAGAGGGATATTGAAATTTAACATTTTAAAATTAAATCATTACCTGATCTGAGTAGTAGTCACAAACTCTTTTGATCCAATACCATTTGGTGAGAGACCATAACCCCCCTACCAGTTCCCAATAACCATTTAAATACACAAATACAAACCAAATAGGAGGTCAGATCCAACTTGTAAGGGTATCCCAAGAAGGATGATCACATATAAAGAAAGTAATTGGTACCAGGAAGGAAAACATAATTAATATAAGCATTAATAAGTATCAGTACACAAGAGGCAAGGTACTATGGAAAACCTTTTGAGAACCATTTTGAAGCATCTCAATTCAAGTTAATAACTGAGAGTTGGGAGGCCAGGATCAAGAACAGGTTTTCTCCAGAACGAATCATTTTAACCATTTTGTCCTTCCCCAGGGAGCCTTTCCTGATACTCAAATCAGAGTCTGATGGGCCTACCCTGACCCCCTAGTATCTACTGTCAAACTTTATTGTCATTCCGTTTCTCCATAAGTAGTGAACTCCAGGAGGCCAAGAGTGTGGGGGAAATGCAACAAATATTTCAGTGAATACATGTTGGTCGTGACCCTTTCATGAGTCAGAAAATCAATTTAGTGGATCATTATCAACATCTTTAAAAGAATGTATTATAGAAAAGTTGAGCGCATTTCAAGTGATTAGTAACGTCTACTTCTGTTATGCGGTGCCAACTTTGAACGAGGTCGCAAGGTCAAATACATTTCTAACTGTGGCGCTTAGAGGAAAAGTCTAAATAAACACTCGCTAAAGGCTATCTCTTCCCCCATCCACTTTTACTCCTTCCCCCTCCTGTCATCCCCTCTGCTGCTTTCAATAAAAAATGGTTCCTGGGGATCTCCAATGTGCACAAGTGTGAAGCAGGTACTTTGGGAAGTTATTAGGGAGGTAAAAAAGTGTCTCTGCCTTCAAGAGACTTCAAAAACTTATGTTAAAATAACAAAGACAGGCACCCCGTTCTCAGTCATCTGCGCCCCATCCTCGTCCCTCAGTCATTCGTGTGCCCAAGGCCAGAGCTCTTGTCCTATTCCCGCCGCCAAGGCTCAGGCCTGTCCCACGACGGGGCCGGCCCAGAGGCGGGGCCTAACCGGCCGCCCCCCATCGCGCACC